ATGAAGACTTTGCAACCATCATTAGAGAACGAGGGGTACACGAAGTACTTGCAACGAGGATACTGGTAAGAACAAGTTCTTTTAAAAAGTAAACTATTCTAGATGTTTGGGACTAACATAAGTTTGTGAGTTACTCAAGAAATTCTTCGATAAGGAAATGAATGAAAATGGAGCGGTGGATCTTGAATGGCTTCGAGATGCTCCATCCAATCTAGTGAAGTATGTTTATGTTGATTTTTTTATTTTCTACTCGATCTCATTATTTGCAATAATAATCAAAATTTCTTATTGTTTTATATCAAAGGAGATATCTATTAGAGATAGAAGGGATATGATTGAAGAGTGCCGAGTGCGTACGACTGCAAGCACTTAAACATTTGGCTTTCCCAGTACGATATAAAATAATTATGGTTGTTTACTAGGATTTTGTTTACCATCTCTTATTCATTAAAGCCACATTTTTGATGTGTATAGGTTGACACAAATGTCTGCCGTATAGCAGTTCGGCTTGGTTGGGTCCCTCTCCAACCATTACCAAATGGAGTTCAATTTCATCAGCTGAAAGATTTAGGCATTATCACAAATCTGGAAAATGTAAACAAAAGTTTAATAACACTACCAACTATAAAACTAACGTTTTCCTTCATTCAGTTATCCATCACCGGATTCGATTTAGAAGTACCTCTGGCCACGACTGTGTAAACTATCTCACGAAACTCTGTAAGTCCAAATTTTTCTTTTCATAAAATCAAATATTTGTAAAATATTATGAACATTTATTGTTTATCTTACTCTACATTATTTATTTATAGGTACACTATCAGATTATACCATTTGGAAAGGTGCATAAAATAAAACTCTTACTTATTAATTAATCATGAACACTACTGATTTAACTAAATTTTGGTGAACCTAGGTTTTCTGCACAAAGGTTTTGCCCAACTGTAATGCGTGTCCGATGAAGTCAGAGTGCAAGTATTTTGCAAGTGCATATGTCAGGTTAGACTTTTTGTTCTTGTTCTCATCTACTTAGAATAGATCAATCAAATGGTATAATCCAAAAAAAAAATCTCTATCTCTGAAACTAATTCTCACTTCTCACCCCCAACTTAAAACATGCCAACCTACAAGAACTCAATAACATGCCAACCTACCAGAAATCTCCAACCTTTTAACCCTGTAAAACCTTCAATTCACACCGTAATTAGTTCATTTTTTTCTGATTTTGATTTTCAGAAAATCACAAAAATGTCTACCTTTTGATTAAAAGGGTAGCTTCTATCACAAAATGTGCATCTCTTATATGACTATGTTGATTTGTATCAGAAGTTGTGTTCTAGGATTTTCTTTTCTGTAACAGATCAATGTAATCATTTGTAAAATTGATTCTAAGGAAATTTATAGATCTTTAACATCAATAACATAATATTAAAAAGCATGAAACTGATTGATATATAAAACGTTTATTCACATACCTTTGTATTTTTCTCTTTTTGAATTCATATAGAAGAAGATTTTCTATGGAATTAACTTTTTTGGTGACCAGCTGAACCATTTGGGTTAACATGTCTACCTTTTGATTAAGAGACAAATCTTTCTTCATATGCTCATTACCGATATCTTCATTTGCATTACAGACATCAACATATCCTTTAATCCAGTCAGTTGCCTTCAATCGGTATCCATTATTGATCATCTCAACAATTTCCATAAAATTTGTCTCTACAATCTGTTGGTGGAACAAGATTCTTGTGTTTTTCCGGGTCTCCAAGAATTGTTTTGACCATAATCTGTAAACATTTTGAAGCAAAAAACATAAAAATGCATATATTTATAAGATGTTTTATAAAAAAATTAAAAACACTTACATTGTCAATGTTCTCCACTTCTGAAATTCGATCAGCTCAAGGTACTTCAGTTGAAATCCATCTTAACATTAAAGGATCTTCAGAGGTAGTGGTCGTCTTGTTTTCCAAATCTAGTACCTAGATGAGGTACTGAACACAGAGCCCAAAAATTGATAGCCCACCCAAATCCTTCAAGATCATACGTTTCTTGTTCCATTTGCTAACAGGCATCTTCATGATTTGTGATCTAAGATAGTCAAAACCAATCTGCCCCCATGGTTTCTTAATGTAGTCTTCAAAATTCAACGCCTCTTGCAATCTTGAAGCTGGGATTAAATTTGTACTGTTGAGACCCCGAATTAACCCCTCAACTAATATGAGTGAAGCTAAGGATAACTTCTCACACTCTGTCCCTTTTATCTTCTTATCTTGAAGGAGTGCAATTAGATCCTTCACTGTCTCTTTCCCTGATCTCATCCAACTATATGGGGTTTCAACTCGCGTTTGCGTAGCTTCTTGCGTTTGAGGCCATTCCAGCATTGAAGGAGAAATTCATAGAAGATATTCCAGGTTCTGCGAGTACATGTCCTAGGATGTGCAAGGAAAAATTCAGACCAAGTGTTATGAAAGGCTTTTCTCTCGATGAAGTGAATGAAGCTCTTGGTAGAATTAAGGTTAGTTGTACCTTTTAATGAATTATTTATGATTGTATTAGTTCTAAATCAAACTGCATTCCTTGTTTATATCCACAGGTCATTGAAAGTATCTTGTTAAAAAATTAAATATTATAAAATATTATAAAAAGGGTATTCACGGTATCAATGAGTACCCTAGATACGTCGTGGTCGGCTATGGTGAGTTTGATCACGAGAGGATCGTCATGAGGATGCACAACTCCGTACGCCTCCAATTTCTCTAAGACGATCGCCTCCTTGGTTTTCTTCTTCGATTCCGATCGATCGATGTCTGTTCCTACTTTTCGCTAAGAAGCTTTGATTGAAGCCACCGTATCGCTGAAGATTTGGGATTTTTCGATGATCGTGTTGATGATCCCTTCAAAGGATTTTTTGGTTGCCCTAGATCAGCTAGGCCAAGAAGGCCACAGCACGTCATAGGGATGACCGACTCGGCCAACCTGTTTTGAGAAGGAGAAATGGCCTAGCCGGTCGATCACGTACTGACCAACTCGGCCAAATGGATGACAGCACATCCGGCTCAGCCAAGAAGGTGACAGCACATGACCGGCTCGGTTTGGTGAAGACGATTTGATGGAAGTTCGGTTTGTGATACGAAAAGTTCGAGGAAACGCGACTTTTATCGGTTTCTCGATAAAAACATACAAAAATGTACTTTTGTATACTTTTCTTAAAAATATCGATAAAAATAGTTTTATCGTAAACTATTTTTCCGAATCTCGTTCTTTTAATATATATTTATAATAACATTTTTACTCTAATAAGGAACATTTTTATTGTAATATATGTAAAAATATTATATATGATATATAAATAGATCATATATATATATATATGTGTGTGTGAGGAGAAACAATGCAAGCACGAAAGATGGCGATTACCGAAGCTCGAGAGAGATCCTTAGCCATAAATAAATATATACTTATTGTACATTAAAACGAAAGAAAAAACTACCTAAACTACATTTTAAACCAAAAATTACCTAAAATACAAATGACTTCGTAGATTTTTTTTGTTCAACCCATTTTGACTCTGTAGTTTCTGTAACAAGGGTTGACTTTGTAGATTTTTAATCTTTCAAATATTACAAAACTTTGATTGAAAATTTATAAAGAATAGTATTTAATTTTAAAAAAAAAACAAGTAACAGAAAATCAGTGAAATAGAAACGTTCGTTGATTGTTCTCATAATTTCAAATATATAATAATTCAGACAGTAAAAAAAGTAGCAAAAAAATATTTTAATTAACATAAATTTAGTTTATTAAAAACATTTTTATCAATATTAAAACATTTAAAGGGGAAAAATGGAGTTCCAAGCGCAAACATAAAGATTAATAATAATATACATATTGTTTGTAAATACAAATAACTCAATTTTTTTTTCAAAAAGTCAAATAGCGTAATTTATTCAAAAAGGTAAGAAGGTTTGCTGAGAAGTTTTGATCTAACAATCAAACTTCTTTTCATTTTTCTTTCAAGCCATAGAGCTTCTTTTATTTTTGTATTTTGTTTTGTCTTATGTTAAGCCAAGTACATCCAAAATTCAAATTTATCATGAACCTCTAAATCCAAGCTATCGAGCTTCCTATTCAAGCCTAAGTGCCTCTGAATCTAAGGCAATGAGCTTCTTCTTATTCAAGTCTATCATAGACATTTGAATCTAAGCCTAGTGTTTCAAAAATTCAAGCCTAAGTGCCTCTGAATCCAAGCTATCAAGCTTTTCATTCAGGTCTACCTCTTAGTCTTTTTTTTTTTTTTTTTTTTTGTGTGATACACACGAGATTTTCTGTGTCACACAATTTGCAAAAAAACCTCATGAGAATTGACTCGCTCTTTTCAGCAAAATTCTTTGTTATTATTTTTTTCTCAAGCCACGTACTTCTCAAAGCGTTAGGCTTCCTTTCAATATTATTTCAAACAAAAAAAAAACAAAAAAAAAATTATTCTCACGAGAGGTCCAAATCACCACCGCTTCATGCTTTGCAGAAACTTACCGCACATTCTCAGCTTCCCCCATATGTCTATCTGACGTTGCCATCGGATCTTCAACTCAAGTCACCATCGCATCGTCCATTCCACCGTTTCATCACCTTCTACATTAGATTTTATTGTCAATCTCAAGTCGCTAACTTCGCTCCATCACCACCTTGAGCTTGAGGGGGCATATAGAAGGATATAGAAAGACTTAGAATTATTAGAATATTATTAGTAAATATTCTGTATTTATTATATAAGAAGTTTACATATTTGTATCTTTCAAGCTTAGGAATAATCTCCACTATAAATATGTATGTATGATGTATCCTAAACATTATAATCATGAGAGTAAATACAATTCTTCCAATCTATCTCTCATCACATGATCAATGACGAAAGTAGCTACACGCATAGTCAGGTAGGAGACGATGCAACAGTAGTGAATGCCACGCCAATTGTATTTTTTATGAAGCCAAACTGCCAAAGCAACAACTATCTCACGTGTACGTCTTTAATTGGGTGGGCGAAAGTAAGCATAGGCCGCAAAGAAAGCTTGGAAGATGGTAACGAGCAGAAGCATCAAAGCAGCAAAAGATGATATAAAGGTCCACGGGGTGTTGAAATGTGTGTACTTGAATCCTGCCCAGTGTACGTGGTACCCTTGTGAAGTGTACTTGTTCACTCCCTCGAAAACACTTGACAAGAAACTCTTGGATATCGAAAACGCAATGTCTTTGCCTGTGTTTTTGAAGAACAAAGATACTTGTTCTCCTGTCCCGAAGTAGTTCTCAATGATCCCTTTCTCGGTTAAGAATGATGTATCTTCTTCAGAGTTTATGAGGCAACCCATGAAAGTAACATAGCTTGTCATTTCGGTGGAGCATGTCATATTAAACTGCTCAAAGGCGACACAGTTGATCAAAAGAGAGCTGAAAAAGTCATCAAATGTTAGTTTTGGTATCTCAAGCACACCGTTCTTGAGAGTTATGTCAAGTGGTGTCTCAAATTGCTCTTTTTGCTTGAATTCTATTCCTCTCAGCCGAAGTTTTTTGGCTGAGAGGATCAGACTGAGAAAAGGACAAAGAGGCGGTGTATGTGTTGGTGTCTCCGCTTGAAGTTTAGTTTTGGAATGACTAAATATATGGAAACATGTGTTTCCCCCTGAACAACAAAATATATTGATGTAGCTTTGTTCTTTTGTTTGCTGCGGTTGATAAGGAATGTAAGTTTTACGGATGAGATCTAAAAGATGGCTTGCAACAAGATTCTTTCTCTTTTCCCAAAACTCTTTTTGCCTTTTTATTGAATAACTAAAGAATGCAAAGATCATCTCGTTTAGGCTACTAGAAGGAAACAGTTTTGATGTCTTATGGAGTTCTTGAAGAACGAAAAGCGGAACCTGGTTTTCGAGGAGGAGAAGATCACTTCGAAGAGTTGGTAGGATCCATCTCAACGTGAAAATCGGGTCATCAGAAAAAATCTTACGCCAACTCTTTTTTGAAACTACCATGAGTAACGTGAGGATGAAGCAACCGTCAAGAATCATCATATTGATCAGCTTTTCGCTATCAAACTTTAGCTCCTCAGAATAGGAACCTCTTATCCTCTCTTCCTTCGCTGAGACCACTTGGCGCAAATGCATCAAACACACGTCCTTTTCCTTTGTCTTGGACAAGAAGAGATCAAGATATCTTTGTTTGTGCTCCTGGATCATCTCAAGATGATGTTTAGCATCTTCACCATCCGAATGATGGTAAGGACCGATCGAGACAATCTTCGGTTTGTAGGCCGTTTCATTGGCTTGGAAAAGAGTGTGAGGGATTCTGAAAATGCAACAAGATTGACCACCAGCTGATTTCTTCAGACGTTTGGGGGAATTTAGGGGGTTTTCAATTTGAATGATGCAAGAAGAGGAATCGTTATCTGTCCCTGAGATTATTGTGCTTTGTCTAGTGCCTTGGCTCGAAGAATTCATGGCTATCTGTTTCTGGAATTTTATTTTTTCTTGACAAGATAATGTCAAATGGTATAGCTCAGCATTAAAACGAAAAGAAAATGATTATTGTAAGACAATGAATTAAAGACCTAATAAAAAAATTGACCTCACACCTAACTAGACATCATGGAAAGTCATATTAAAGCTAGAGGATCATCAAGGTCTAACAATCAAAAAGTTGGTTATAGCTCAGCATTAAAACGAAAAGAAAATGATTATTGTAAGACAATGAATTGAAGACCTAATAAAAAAATTGACCTCACACCTAACTAGACATCATGGAAAGTCACATTAAAGCTAGAGGATCATCAAGGTCTAACAATCAAAAAGTTGGTTATGACCGAAACGAATAACTATTTTAAATAATAGGTTTTATGAATATGTTTTTAAATACTATTTTGATAAAAAAATTTATGTAATTAATTTTATTTATTAAGATATTACTTTATATATATTATTAAATGTAATAATATGTATAAAAAAATTGCAGTTTTAATCTAATTTGTGAGGTTTTATAGTCTTATTTTGAATATGTAATATGTTCTGTTTGAAAAACTTATAATTTGATATAATATTTATAAATAGTATACTAAAACTAACTAAAAGTGTAACAAAGTAATCAAATGTCATTTAATAATCATAATATTGATACAAAAATTAAAAATTATACATCAGTTCTCCAAATAAAAAAAATCATTGTTTTTCATCATTTTAGTTCCATCTTCGTTATATATATTTTCTATAAAATTAATAAAAAAAATAAATATAAAAATTATTTTACTTCCTTAGCTAGTTTAACCAATAAAAATTTCTTAATATACTACATTGAAAAACAAACTAATAATTCCAATTCTTGCTTTCAGATTCATGACACTTATATCATATTATTTATGTTAATTTTTGAATGATTTTTAATGATTATACTTTACTTTTTCCAATCAAAGTGAATAAGTTTTTTTATTTTATTTAATTTTTTTTTCTTTTTTTTTGACAGTCTAAGTATCTAGAACGGTTCGACAAGCCAAACCGGTGGTACTGAATTTACATAAATAACTTCATGAGGGTAGATCCAAGCATTTTTTGCTAGGTTTTCTGCCTTCGAATTCTTTGCGTGTGAGATATACAATATCGAGAAAAAGTTGAACTTGTTCTTCATCTTCTCAATCTTCTCCAGGTGTAAAGCAAAAGCTGACCATTCTTCGGGTGTAGACATTATCTTCACTACCTCCGAACAGTCTATTGCAAATACTATTGACGTTTTCTGATTCTCTAACATACGATGCATAGCCCATATAAGGGCTTCCATCTCTGCTTGCAGAGGAGAAAGACTTCGCTACACATTTTATTTAATTTCATTTTAATTTATATATGTTTTCTATAGAATACAGAAAAAGCAAAATAGTTAAAATTTTAGCTACTTTAATTAATAAAAAATTTCAGTTTAATTTACAAATGAAAAGGTAAAGTAATAAGCACAAGTCTTACTCTCGTATCTAAGGAAAAATTAGTTTTTGAAACCAAACAAAAATAATAATAGAATGAACATTGAAACAAATTAATAATTAAAAAAACCGATAAAATGTTTTTGCTTTTCGTTTACCAGGAACATATAGAAACCGTAATTTTATCTGGTGACATATATTAAATGCACTCACGATCTTATGTAATTTCAATTGAGTAATTTCAATTTTTATATATATTTGAGGCCTGAATGTGATAGAAATCAAAGCTGGAAGATTCTGCTCGAGGTCCTTTGCGGCAAGTGGTTGCGGTCACTCTTCCTTGTGATGAGGCTTACTGATTGCAATCGAATGCTGCTTGATCAGCTAATTGTTACCATTGTGCTTCGGGTTGGATTTTTAAAACACTGTCAGATTCCATGTTATTTCAAGATGTTCCTCGAATACATCGGTCTCCTCCGCCTTAATGGCAGAACTTCTTTCTCTATTCTCAGCGCTTTAATTTTCAAAATTATCGGGTATCAATCACTTGACATCTTTCTCGGATTGCTTAGAACTTATCCTTCTTTTCAAATACAGTGGCCAAGATTTGGAGAACTACGATCTCTTTCTCGACATTAAAGCGACTTGTAGTGGCTTTGTCTATATCTCCTTTCATCATAATCTTTTTTTTTAGCTAAAAGTTTAACGGGTAGTCTAGCCAAGTTGTCTCTTTTACGTTGTAATAACTCATTCTTTAGTGAAAGATAACTTTATTGTTTTGTTTTTTTTTGAATTGAAATGGTTGCAAACACACAAACAAAATTAACTTAATTTTCTTTTATAATTATATGACAAAAATTTGAATACTAATGTAGGAGTCTCTAAATGTGTGTGTGTATGTGAAGAAATTTTTACTATTTTTTTTATTCTTAATTATTTATATAATTTTCCTATTTTAATATTATTTTAGTTTTTATTATTGATATAAATTGTAAACATAATTCTTTATCTTTAATAATTTTTAAAAACAAAAATATAATTTAGAAGTTTTATAATTTTGAATATTGTGGTTGACCAATGAAAATTTGATACATAATTTCCTTATTCTTTTATATTTATTTTATTAATAATAATATTAGAGTTTGTAAATTTTCTTAAATTTTAATGTTAATGTGGACCAATAAAATTGACTTTTTTAAATACTATGTGGACACTTTTAAAAGCATATAGCTTCAACTTTGATATTTTCATGGAAGCTCCAGTTCATATATATATATATATATATATATATATATATACTGGCTTTAGAAGCATATAGCTTAATTATATGAATTCAATTTTCTTATGGCTTTAAACTAAATTATGGTTTCAATATATGATGTATATATATATATCTTATATATTTGTTAGAAGCATACTAGGGTTCTAAACTCATAGGGATCGATGCAGACTTCTCTTGTTTATCTTAATCGATATCTAAGTATCTTCTAACTAGTCTCAAGCAGTATTTCTTAATCTATTCCTAGTATCTGCAAAGAACTAGAATAGGCACTTATATGGCTAACCAAATCTCGTCACCTTAACCAAATAATCACTTAAACTTGACAAGTATCTTTCGTTTCTTGTCGCGAGTAAGATCATGCATTAGCTGAACTAAATTCGTTTTTGCTCAAATCTTCTCTATAGGTAGCTTTCGTCTCCTACAGCAACTATGTTCTTCTGAAACTATGTACGATGATCTGATACATCACTCTCGTGGCTCTGATCAATCCTAGGTTCAGAGATTAGTTCATGACTCTAACCTCATGCATTAAATTCAACTTAGAAGAAAAGAGATCTAGAATATGGTTGAGAAAAAATAGAAATCCTAATGGAACATATAGATCCCTTTGATGGATCCTTAAAAACTCAACTACTAAAATACTGTTACATGATGCAGGAAAAGATAAACAATAATGAAAGATGCATAAACTGAAATAGAAAAGATAGATAAAAAGAAAGGAGATAGGTCAAAGGTTCAAGGAAACGGATCCCTCTCTCCTTCGCCTAAACCCTAAGAAACAAATTTTTGTGGCTCAAAACCTCATTACAAGAGCACACACCTGATTAGGCTGCTAAGATATGTATTTATAGGTCTTAAGGTCTTCTAGGTCTTCTTTAGGGCTTCTGTGAAGAGAAATGACTAAATGGACTTGATGTTGGGCCTAGGGGCCGAGTTGTGATGTACCACATGTGAGAGTCCTCCAGGACTGGTGGAATGATAGTTTACCAAGGGATGAGAAGTGTGGGGTGCGGCCAGAAGGTGTTTTGCCGTGGGTCAGCTGAAGTTCGGGCTGGTCGATGAGACAACTTGATCTTCATGTACCTTTTGATTGCACCGTTGGATTATCCTAAAGTAAAATGCTATAGAAAGTCAGCTGGATCTTCTTGAATGTATCCAAATTTGATCTGGATCAGACGGTGAGAATGTCTTTATTTAAGATTGAACTTCTGACGGTTTGACTCTGAGCTAAAAAATGGATTTCCTCCATTTTGTCATGTTTTTCTCTAAATTTTCTGAAAAGAGTCTTGAAACTACAAATATATAAAAACTGCAATAAAACTCAGAAAACTAATTAAAACCTTTGAAAAAGCGTTTGAAATCAATACAAATACAGTGTTATCAAAGATGAATACAAATACGGTGTTATCAAGACTCAGCCATGCCATTTTGTGTATGTACATGTGGGACCCGATGCTCAACATCGATTCCCAATGACATACAACAATCAATAAAGGCTGTTGAACTAAATTCACCAGCGTTATGAAGCCTGACTTTCTTTGGTATAATCAAGGAATTGTGCTCTCAACCTGATTATTTGGGCAATGAATCTTCCTAAAGCCATATTTCTTGTGGTCAATAGACATAATTGTGACCATCTACTAGATGCGTCAATTAATACCATAAAATATCTAAATTGTCTGCACGGTGGGTGAATCAGCCCACATATATCAGCATGTATTCTTTCTAAGAATACGAGGGATTCATTTCAAACTTTGGCTGGTGAGGGCCTAGTTATGAGTTTTCCTTGAAAACATGCCTGACATGAAAACTCTCCTGATTAAAAAATTTTCTCGTCTTTCAATGGGTGGCCACTCGAATTTTTCATAATCCTCCTCATCATGACAGATCCAAGGTGGCCAAATCTTTCATGCCACACTCTAAATGTACTAGTAAACTGTAACATATAATTCAGTCATATTTATTTTTGTGCAATATAATCCTGAGGACATCATTGGCAATTCTTCTACTACATGTTTCCTCTCAGATGTTATGCAAAGATATTCAATGCCATATTTATACATACTTGATATCTGATATCCATTTCCTCGGATATCTTTAAAACTTAGCAAATTTCTGCTAGATTTAGGAGAATATAACGCATTGCTTATTTCAAACTTTTTTCCCCTTGACATTGAAAATAATTAGCCCTTACGTAGCCTATTATAATATTTGCATTACGAGATATGGTACTCATGCTTTCGGCGGAGTCCTTTATTTTGAGACAGAAGAAATATTTTTTATCTTTAAGTATAGTATGTGTCATAGCATTGTCTGCTAGACATGTATCTCCATCTTGAATCTCAAACGATAACATGTTCTGAATCACAATATGCAAGAGAATGCATTTATAAACCAAAACATGATTTTAAAAGTTATTTTACATAAGAAAACATTTTCATGTTAACAGAAATATATTACATTCTTATTTAAAATTATATTGGTTTTTCTTGTCTTCTTCAAGAAGCCTATATCTTACATCGATCTTAATCGTTTTGTTTCCGTTGATTCTTCGGAATCAACAAGGAAATCAGCGATATCAAGATGAGTATAATCACTTATGCCATCAAAGGATGGTCCAGCTTCATCAAAGATGAAATTGGTTTCAAAATCCTTTCCTTTATCATTTTCTTTGAAATTTTGTGATACTTAATACAGATCGGCTAAATATCTTGGCGTACGACAGGTATGTGCCCAATGATTTTTCAGTGATTGCCCAAGATTTGCAGGATCTTGTTTTGTGATGTATTCCTCTTTTGAACTATTATCGATGTGATGGAGCAAAAATGTCATGGCTTTCACCTTTTTCTCATCTGATGTCATTTCCGACTTATCGATGGTATAGAGAAGCCCTTTTTTTTAGATGCATTTTTGCATCTACTGCACATGACATGTAATTTTTTCTAGATACATCAAGGGCAGGGATTTCGAGCTTCACCAAATTCGATATGATAACTGTATGTATATCATAAATTTAGCAAAAATTTTAATTTAAAATTTGATTTTAAAGAAACGTTATAAAAACTTTTAAATATGCATATATAATGAAAATATATACTTTAGACAATATAAAGGGCAGAACCTTCTATATAATTGAGAAGGCAGGGTATACCATAGTTTTGAGGATGAGGCATCACTATCCACTTCACAAATATAAAATCAAGGAAGAGGTTTAACCTTCCATTCCATATATATATGATCCGAGGAGACATACTCTACCATATGATCATATGATCTTGAAGGGATAGCCTATCATAACGATCGGTTTGGGGGAAGGAAGAGCCTATCATCTTGTAAGCTTGAAAATAAATTGAACCTAAGTTTAAATTATTAGTTCGGTGAAGGCAGAGCCTATTATCCCAAAATAATACATAAACTTGAAATAGATTGAACATAAATTTAAATCTTATTTCTTTAGTATAAAAACGGATCAAGAGGCGTTCGTACTGATAACCTGCTATAAACTATAATTGATTTATATATTATAAGGTAAGATTTGTTATATATACATATATGTGTATGTATTATGTACGAAAGAGAGAGAATAAGGGCATCATTACTGCAGAGACGCGGCCCGTTTTTAACAGAGATCAATTAATAAAGAATTTGGGCCGCGTCTTTAATTTGGCCCATCCGTCTCTTATTTGGCGACAATTGAAGACGTCTCCAGCGCCACGTGGCTATCGGTGGTTGGCTAATGAAATTGGGAAGAAAAAAAACACTAAGGTTTCATTTTCTTTTCCCCGTGTTTTCCTCTCTCATTTTTTTCTCCTCTCCACCGACGAAAACGATTTCATCCTTCGAATCTCCGATCGATTTGCAGAGGGATCGCGATTTGACTCCGCAGGATCTCCGTCATCGACGACCTCGTTAGCCGCTTTCAGATAAGTGTTCTTCCCCCTATTATCTTCCATGTTTCGTTGTTGTTTTCGTGTAATCTCAGATGGATTTTTATCCATGAATATGATTGTGTAGGATTGTTTGTATTAGGGTTAGATGTTCATTTCCTTTACTGTTAGTGGATCAATTTCATTTTCGATGGTTAATCGGTGATTTTTGAGTAAACCCTAATTTCGAGAATTGGGGCTTTTTGTGAATGTTGAAATGTTATTGTATTTGATGAAGAAATTGAATGTTTGTGCTGTTATCTGTTGAGTCCTTCATTGTTTTTGGTTGGGATAGTTCAGTTTTTCATTCGATGTCTATGTATTTATATGTGCATTTGATCGGTGCATTAGATCGATATATATTACTGTTTGATTATGAATGAAAAGATACATAAGTGCTTTTGATCAATGTTTATGTATTGATATGTGCATTTGATTGGTGCTCTTGATCTTGTATTGTGGTCGTATCTGTTTTTGATTTTTGTTTGTTAACTAACAAGCTTGTTTGCTTGTTTCTGGTTTTAGTTTCAGGTCAGGGAATGGGGCTACTGGTTAGGGTATAACTTGAAGCTGGTGTAACATTAACCAATGATGCTCCTTCAGTTCAACGAGTAAGTTATGTTTACCTTTAACGTTGTGGTTGTTGTCATTACTATGTAGATAGCTAGGGTTTTAGCTGTTAGGTTAGGTAATAAATGATGATTAGATTAGGTAATAAATTGCTACAATGGTTGGTCATTGCGATTTAGGTTTGTGTCATGTCAACCTTAAACTTGAATGTTCTTTCGAAGATTGTCAGTCCATTCAATGTTGTCATTAACTCTAACACTTGTTTATCCTATTTAACACCCATCTACCTTAAACTTGAATGTTCTCTCGAAGTTTGTCAGTCCATTCAATGTTGTCATTAACTCTAACACTTGTTTATCCTATTTAACACCCTTCTACCTTTCCACAAATATTTCATTTCACTTCTCTTTGCTTTCATTTCGTTTCATTTCATTTTACTTCTCTTTGCTTTCATTTCACTTCTCTTTCATTCCAACTCTCTTTCAACTCTTTTCCATTCGCCTCAAATGGATCCATTTTCTCAGCCAGCTAACTTTGTTGACTTATTAAATAGTCAACAAGAACCAACCCTCACTGATGGTTTTCCATCCATCGACCCACTACCTGTCTTCAGCACGCAGTGGTCGCCATGCGCAACGGTTGGTGACACACCTGGTCATCGAGGCGATAGGAGAACTTGGACCCCCAAAGAAGACGTGCTGCTCATCAGCGCTTGGCTGAACACAAGTAAGGACCCTGTTGTGGGTAACGAACAGAAATCGGGCGCGTTCTGGCAAAATATTGCAATTTATTTTGCAGAACATATGAACCCGACAGATGGTGTTCCACGTGAGTCAGGGAAATGCAAACAACGGTGGCACAAGCTAAACGACCCCGTGTGCAAGTTCTGCGGAGCGTTTGAGACGGCCACGAGAGAGAAGACAAGCGGAATGAACGACAACGATGTCCTCAAGATGGCTCATCAAATTTACTACCAAGATCACAAGAAAAAATTCAACGTAGAACACGCCTGGAGGGAGTTGCGATATGACCAGAAATGGTCTGAACTTTCGACAGCAAAAACTGATGGACCTTCGAAAAAACGAAGGATTGAGGATCTTCCATTTTCACCGAATGAGGAGATGCCGGAAAACAGGTGTGTCGATCAAGTTCAACCTACCAACCGACCTATCGGAATAAAGGCGGCGAAGGCAAAGAACAAAAAAACGTTGGGTGAAGGGAAAACTCTATGTGAGTTTGAGGGGATGTGGGTTATTAGGGAGAAAGAGATGGCAATCCAAGAAAGGATGTCAAAAATTGCTCTTCTTGACACTCTAATGGCGAGGAAGGAGCCATTGGCTGACTTTGAGGAAAACATGAAGAAGAAGCTTGTCCAAGAACTGTTCTCTGATTAGTTTTAGGGTCTTGTCATTTTCGAACTATGTCTCATGTTGTTTGTGGTTTGTCTATCGTTTAGATGATGTTTATCTATGTCTCGTTTAGGATCTTGTTTTGTTGTTTAAGGATTTTCTTGGGTTATCTATGTATTGGACGCTTAATCTATGTTATGCTTCTTCTTTGCTGTTAATATTTGCTGTTCCCTGATTTACAGCAGCACTATATACACATATATGTATTTACAATGTTTCTTGCTGTTTCAGGGAATATCAGTGGTTGCGGAGGACAAGATAAGCTAACTCAGACATGCGTATGACTCCGAAGATACAAACAAGTTCTGCCAGTCACAAGTTGAGAGGGAATCATTTCGGTGGAAAATTATTCACTTGTATGACTCTTGTAGTATGCAATTTTTTTATGTCTTGTAGTATGCTTTTTTTTATGTCTTGTAGTATGCAATTTTTTTATGTCTTGTAGTATGCTTTTTTTTATGTCTTGTAGTATGCTTTTTTTATGTCTTGTAGTATGCTTTTTTATGTCTTCTAGTATGCTTTTTTACGTGTAGTACTCTGCTTTTTCTTACACCACTCATTCTTTCTTTATGTGCACCACTCATGTAAACGAGACAATGTCTATATATTGTGAGATGAGTATTTCAAATATTACTTCAACTTTGTATTCGCAAGTTCATCCTTCACACTGTCTCCTTTCATCTTTCTATCTTTCTTCTTCAAAGTTCATCTTTCTTTAAATGGCCTCCTCTTCTAATATCCCAAATGATGATTCTAGTGAGCCAAATTTCGAGAACTTTTTCAAGGAAAAGTTCTCACAATACTTTCAGCAAACGTATGAGAATATGTGGACTCAATATGGAGAGGAGCAAGAGACTAGCAAGCCTAAGCAAAAAAGAGCTTATGTTGAAAGAGATCGTGAAGAAGGGCATAATCGATTATGGAATGATTATTTCAGTGATATCCCTACATATCCTGAAAATTTTTTTAGGCGAAGGTTTCGGATGAACAAGTCTTTGTTTATCCGTATTGTTGATAAACTTTCCAATGAAGTGCGATTCTTTCGACAAAAGAAAGATGCTTTGGGAAGACCCGGACTATCTCCTCTACAAAAATGTACAGCAGCCATCCGTCTGTTGGCATATGGTGGTGCAGCTGATACGGTAGATGAGTATCTCAGGCTCGGGGAAACAACTGCTCGTTCTTGTTTAGAAAATTTTGTTGAAGCAATAATCGACTTGTTCGGGGAGGAGTACCTACGGAGACCCACACAGGACGATCTTCAACGTTTACTTCATGTTGGAGAACAACGTGGATTTCCTGGCATGATAGGTTGCATCGACTGTATGCATTGGGAGTGGAAGAATTGTCCAACCGCTTGGAAAGGACAATATACTCGGGGAGCAGGAAAACCAACTATCGTTTTAGAGGCCGTTGCTTCATATGACCTTTGGATTTGGCACGCCTTTTTTGGATCTCCATGTACTCTAAACGATATAAATGTTCTAGATCGTTCACCCGTATTTGATGATATCTTACACGGTAACGCCCCGCAAGTGAATTTTTCTGTCAACGGAAGAAACTACAATATGGCATACTATCTCACCGATGGTATATATCCAAATTGGGCAGCATTCATCAAATCAATTCCACTTCCACAGGGCGAAAAAGCCACTTTATTTGCTGAGCGTCAGGAAGGTGTTCGAAAAGATGTCGAACGAGCTTATGGTGTTTTGCAATCTCGGTTCGCCATTGTTAAAAACCCGGCTCTTTTCTGGGATAAAGCTAAAATAGGTAAGATTATTCAAGCTTGTATCATCCTTCATAATATGATAGTTGAAGACGAAAGGGATGCACGCACTCAGTATAATTTTTCAGAATTTCAACAAGGAGAAGGAACTAGTAGTTCACAAGAAACTCATGCGTTCTCAACAAATATGGCAACAAATATTCAAAGTCTGATGGATAATCGGTTGAGAGTTCGTGACAAAAAAATACTCCCTCTGTTTCATTATAGTTGATTTTCTAGATTTTTTTTCTTGTTTCATAATATTTGATTTCCTACATCTAATTAATGCATGTCTCTTCTTTAAATTGAATGAATAATATTAATGCATGTTGCTTTACTCTATTAAAGCACAGTTAAAAAAGAAAAAGTAATAATAAAATAATGAAATCAGTTGTAAAAGTAACTTAATTAACAAAAATAAATATTAAATAATTGAGTATTTATAGTTTTCTTAATTTGTGTGTAAATATTCAGAAAATCAACTATAATGAAACAGAGGGAGTACATGATTGGTTACAAAAGGATTTGTTGGAACATATATGGCAGAAATTTGGAGGTCGTTAATATAATAATTACGTTTTTATAATATGTTGTATGTTTTCTTTTTTTCTTTTTCTATGTATTACATGTGTTTTAATGAAATAAAGTTTATCTATTAATAATATATATTTCTTTAATTTAATTAACACGAAAAACAAAAACACTATTCCTAGAGACCCAAGTAAGTCTCTCCCATTAAACAAAGTACAATTAATGGTCTCTACATACAATCTTTAAAACAACTTTTTGATATAATATTAATAAAAACCACATTTGGAGACCCATGAAGGTATCTGCATTAAGGATGCCCTAAGTGGAGAGAGACGAGAGGGAAGGAGGACAAAACAACTTCTCTTCAATTAACATCTTATTGCTGCTTTAAACCTCACAAACTCAGCACATATTTTTTATATAAGAGGAAGTGGTAGGTAACACAATGTCGGTAATTATATTTGTTACCTTCCTCTTCTTATCACTTTATCACTTGAGTAACTTTTTTTCTTTCTTTTTTGTCGCCAAATTGTTCATTTCATTAAGAACCTTACATCAGCCATTTAATTACATGATTTTGCACTGTTATCCTAGCTTTCTTTGCTAATTCATTAGCTCTCTATTAGCAGTGCGATTAATCTTCCTAAAAATAAAATCACATTGAAGAACTACACTCTTAATATCATGTAAAAATGTCGCACACGAGAGATATAGGCCTTCTTGTGATTTGATCAGACTTTGGGTTTGCTGGAAGATCCATAAAGCCCCTGCAGATCACCACATATCGTAAATCCTTTATACTCAAGTTTTCTACGATTAATTAATGCTATTCTGAGAGCTTCAGCTTCTGCTTCAATGGATGACTGTGTTGGTTCTATTGCAGAAGACCCGCAAATTATATCCCCACCGTCGCTGTTATATAAAACCATCCTATTCCTGCCTTTTGATATGATGAAATCCATGATTCATCTACACAGCAATAAGATCGATTAGTTTCTTGTAAGGAGCAGAATAATTCTCATCTCTTTGATTGATTGTCCTATTTTCATCTGCTGGAGGAGCTATTTCCCGTGGAGGCAAAAAAATTCGGTTACATTCCGAAATCAAACTTCGAATGCGTGGCAGAGGCTCTGGACGATCGTGTCAAGAAGAAGGCCGATCGATACTGTAAATAGAAATTTGTTACAGAAAATTTGCAGCTGGTTATGTATGCAGATTGATGTTTGGAGTTCGAATTACTTTAATCCGGTTGCGTTAATCTACCTGAAACGAGTTCACCATATATGTTTTCATTGCTTACTTAAATCAGCTATTCTCTTTTTTCTTCTGACTTCACTAATATATTCTGTAACTTGTTGATTTGTGTTATGTTAGTGAGTATGGGAAAATTCAATACTTGGTAGTGATCTTTGAATTGAAAAGATGGGACAATATGTTCGTTGCATATGTAGAACGATTGTAGATTTATGTTGCAGAGAAGTTGAAAGTTCGGTATTTGGTACTGATCCTTTGAATTTCCTACAACATATGGGACACTATGTTCATTGCATCGGTTGCAAGATTGTCATATGAGTGAAATGTTTAGATTTTGAGACTAGCAATTTACATTGATATAGCTGTTGTGTATCTTTCAAAACAGTCATATTTGCAGAAACTACTTGATTAAATTTTAGTGTTATGGTTTGAATTTTTGAGTACATTGGTTTTGTAAATGGTTCCTGTTCATATGTTTGCATTCTATTTTCTTAGAGGATTTACATGTCTTGGAAAAGTTCGACGCATATGTTTCCCTCTTCTAGTGAATGGCAATGGATTGGTTTTCAAGAAACTAGAGTATATTACAGTTAGGCCACCGCGACTGAACTGCAGAAGAAATTGAGAGATAAGTTTAGTTTAGTCAAGGCTATTTTCTTTTCCCTCTAAATATTTATCTTATAGCATGCAAGTCATATGTATCACTATGTTCTATCATATGTCTATAAGCTCAGACGAAGAAGAAATTGATAGCCATAGCATGAAACGTCAACTTGAGTTTATTTCTGGGATATGCACAGGCATTTCCCGTAGACATATTTCTCACAGCGTGTATACATATGTTGTTAGCAATAGATAGTCACTATGTATATTTCTTGAATAATAGAGACTCCACTGTCAGTTTTATCTCCCGAAATACTCAGTTTCAGCTCCTGTTACCTCGAGGATTCCTGTGTGCTGTTTCTTCTGGACTAACCCTTTGGTACCTTGCCCTAAAAGGCCAAATGTTCCCGAGCTGCATCCTTCTCGGGCGCCTTCTTTCAGGTATGTCTTCTCCAATGGAATCACCCCTTTCCCGAGAATCCGTAACGGTGCTGATTGGTGGCAGATCACGGCGGCAGATAGGGCAAGAATTGTGAAGCCTGAGCCATGGGGTAATACAATTGTTATGGTAAATATGTTTGCATGGTAGTTCTGTAGCTTCCCCGCCAACAAAGAATTCTTCCATGCACACCGTGCACTGGGACATGTCGTTGGTTAGATGTTGTGGTGTAATCTTCACGGTCGGTAGCGCATCAATGGTGGGTTCTGGTGCAGGTGGTGGTCCAGGCCTATCATCTTGTGTTAACTGTTCGATCAGCTGCTCTAAGCCTGAAGCTCCATTAAAGAAATCATGTGGGTTCAAACGCTGGGGTGGTGCTAGATTTGGTGGCTCAGTCATGTTTCCTAGTGGATTAGTTGGATCAAAGGGCCGGAGTATCACATATGTTCTTCTTGGTGGAGGTAAACCGCCAATGTTATCATTGTCAAGGCTGTGACGTCGTCGATGGTGTGGTCGGGGTCTTGGTTCAGATTCCATGTTTCTCGATCTTGCCCTGTGAAATGGGTCTGCACCGAATCCAGCTCTGATTGGAGGATCAAACATGAGTGAAAGAGCTTCAAGAAGACGAGTCTCAGGAGAAGCATCAAAAGGTGGAGCAGCATGATTGAAAGCAATTCGAGGACGTCTAATCTCAATCTCGATAACAAATTGCCTCAAGCATCGAGGGCACGCGATCTCCGATAGGTTAGAGGATGCAATCCTGACGGTACGTTCACAATGGTAGCACCAGTAGAGGCCAAAAGTCCTAAATGCTCCATTGGGTGCACCATTGGTCCGTGTTATGGGCAGACTCAATGGCATGATTCGAAGAAGGAACTGTTAAATATAAGACATACATAAATTTACTCATATATAGATAAATGTTAGAGGGTTGCATGAAGCAATTGATCAAGGCAGATTCTGTTCAAATAGAAGTCTTGTTTTCTTTGGAAGGCAAAACATAAGATAGATGAATGAAGAAGCAATGCTCATCTCTTCTAGTTTTCTATGCTTTTGAGGTTGCCTCTACGTAAAGGCTAGAATCATTTCAATGATCCACTAGATTTTGCGCCCAAACATGGATATTTTATGATAAATAATTGTATGCAAATAATTATATTTATTAAGATATAAATTTTATATGTTAGTGTTTTAATTATATAATCAATCAACTAATTATATTTATTAAAAACATTATGGTGTTTATCTAATATTTTTTATGTAAATTATGAGGTTTTAACGGTTTTGTTTTAAATCTGTATATATAATATGTCATATTTCAAAAACATAACACTTATCTTATATTATTATTTGAGAAGGAAAATTTTAAAATAATCTTTATTTGATGTGTGATTTACAATAGTGTCATGCTGCTGTGTCATTATAAGAGAGCTTCTGAAAACACATATAGAAAAATGCTTATTTTACTAGAATAATTACATAATATTCCATTAACATTTATTTAGTTAGAGATTAGTTTATATCAATTATATATTTAATACTTAATATTTAATTTTTAAATATATTCTTTCTTTTTTATTTCTTATCAACTTATTTATAAAAAATTTAATACATAGTATTACTTATTTTTTGACATCATACATAGTATTACTTATGTTACTAAACATTATATTTTTTTATATCATCTTTCTTTGATCATAATTTTCTTAAAAAAAAAATAATCATATTATCTATTTAACAAAAAAATCTAAATTTTTTAATGCATATTATAATTCAATTATTTTATATTAAAAATAAAATATCTTAATCTGATTTTGAAGCGGTTAGATACCATATATCAATAAAATTTAGTATACTCAAAATTTTAAATATGCAATTTCATGCATAGAAAAAATACTATTAAAGTTAATTATAAGAAATCAATAATTATATTTATATTACAAAATAAATATAATTGTAACTATTATGTGTAATTGCATAATCTATATGTATAAATTTATAATTATAAATATTAATTAACATGTTTTAGTTGTATTTATATATATTATTTTAAATAAAAAAATATGATTAATATTTGTCCCGCACAGGATGCGGGTAATCACCTAGTACTTTAATATATCTAAACACTTACAAATTAATCAAATGCTACTTTTTAAATTTAGTATTAACATGATGATAAAATATTATACTCACTTCTTTAAATCAAGAAGATAATTTTTTTCATCATTTTCACTTTTATTCCAATTATATATGTGTTCTTTAAAAATAATAAAATTTAAAGTTTAATATTTTTTTTCTCTTGTTTAACCAACACAAATTTTATTTTGATATATTAATTATAAAAAATTACTAATAAATAAAATGTTTTCTTTAAAATTAATTCTATATATTAAATGAGAATGTAGTTTAATGAAAAAATCCGATTTGTTTTAATTTGATTGGCTTAGAAAACCTCCCTTGCCAATGTCAATGATGATGTTTATTCCACGTCAAATGTACCATGGCAAGGTCGCTAGCTCTGCGCAATTTCATTGGATGATGATGCTGATGTGTAAATTCTGTCCAATTTTTTATGGTATAAAATAATTAAGAAACAAGAAAATCACAAACAGATAAACATGGTTATACCCGATCCGATCTAATTATCTGTTTTTAAAAACATTATTTGGCCCTATACGTCTGAGAAGCCCATTTCTAAATTTATTGAAATTATTGATTTTTAAAAACTTTTCTGCGTCAGAAAATAGAAATAATTCCAAAAATAGAAGATTACATTAACTATTAGCAGAATTTACCGGAGTTAATGTAACAAAATATACAGAAATCTTAATTTTTCAAAAAGAAACAAGAATTTATGTTACAGTTTAATACTAGACATCAATTTTGGCAATAAAATCAATTTGAATATATTGATTCTCAAATATTCCCGCAACAAATACCTACTTCTACGCACATTCCGAATTTCCATATTTTTCATTTTATTCTCTTTCTCCAAATAATTGAATTCCTGCCTAACATCATTTTAAATTGTTTTCATTCACTTCCTCTCCCTATATATACCACCTATCGTAAACCCTAAAACTCTACCATTCTCATTCACTAAAATGGCTTTAGTCCGCAGACGTTCAGCTGCTATAGTTCCATTTGCCAAATTAGATCAATCAAGTGAAATTGAGAAAGTTAGAGGTACTATATTTTCACTTTGGAAAGTCAAGAATAGGCAGTCTGGCTTTGTTATAGAAATGGTATTGGTTGAGAAGAGGTTTGTATGCAATCTTATATATTTTTCTTATTGTTATTTTAAGTAATGTATAGATTATATAGTAATACTATTTACGTGTGATTCACAGGGCACTAGGATTCACGCTACTGTTGATGAAGAATTGATTGCAAAACATAAAGGGATTCTTACAGAAGGAAAATCACTTTCTATTAATTGCTTCATAATTAAAGAATACTATGGTGATTTTAGGACGACTCCATTACCATACAATATCACTTTGTGCAGGACAACCCGTGCTAAGGAGATTAATGATTTTCCATCAGATTTGCCAGAGAAATATTTGTCTGATTTCAGGTCAATCAAGGAAGACAAACTCGACAAAAACGTCCTCATCAGTATGTCATCATCTTGATTATGAAATTTATATTATAATAATGTACATATTTATCATTGAATACAAATATTTTTTCTTTAAGATGTCATTGGACAAATTGTCACCGTTGGGAGTATGGAAGTTATAAAAACTAAAGGAAAAAGTGGGATCAGCGAGAAATTGATGATAACACTTCGGGATACCAAGGGGTTATGATATCATACCAATATAAACATAACAATATTTTAAAAAAATTTAACGCTAATATGTTTACTGATGAAGCGATGTCCAATTGAAATGTACATTATGGGGACAATATGCTAAAGCAACTGTTGAGTACACTGATAAACATATGGCTGCTATTGTTGTGTGTGTAATGCGATTTGTCTGTATAAAAGAGTACAAAGGTTAGATCACTATATCCCCTATTCATATATATATACAGTTTTAGAGATTTAGGGTTTGGATTAGTTTGTTAATTATTCTTTTTTTATGTTTTCCGAGTATAGGTGACATTTCAATATCAAATGCTTTCAACTCCACCAAGATTCTGTTTAATCCTGATTTCAAGATCGTGAAAGACTTCAGAGAAAAGTATGTTATGTGACAATTTAATATCATTTTAAAATTCTTTATATAATTATAGGATTACGTTTTTGTAGGTTGCCAAAAAACAATCAAATGATTGTGCATGCTGAACAGAGTTATTAGACTTCTTGGGGTGGTGCTATTGACTACCGTGAAGAATTCTTAGGTGTGAAAAATAGGAGGCGGACGATAGCTGGAATCCGTGATACAAAAGTGGTATGAGCTATATATTTTGAAAATGGTATAAATATATTTACATTTAACTATATACACATTAATGGTTTTGTTATAGCCTGGCAAGAGTGTAACATGCGTTACGGTCAAAGACATTGACACTTCAAAGCTGTGGTATTATTGGGCATGCAAACCTTGCAACATCAAAATTTTAGAGCATGGAATTATGTCTGATGATGAAGATTACGATAAGAGGATTCCTCTTTTCAGTTGCAAGAATTGTGGTGATATTTATTCATATGATACCATCGTCGCAAGGTAATACAATGATTTGTCCCATAAAGTCAAGAAAACATTACTTATTTCATTAAGTATTTCTTAGGTAATATATTTAGCACATATAGCAGAATTAGAAATATTGATTTTCTCTGATTGACTGGATTAATGTTCGCCTTCTTTTATTACATTGATTCGTCTCATCATACATTTATTCCAGCATTACATTATATGTTTATGATTGTAACATTTAAATAACTCATTCTTTTATTATATTTCAAACAATTTAGGTACTACATTGTATTATTTGTAACTGATGATTCAGACGTCGATGTCCGCTTTTTGATGTTTGATGACACTGCTCAAAGGTTGTTAGGTCATTCAGCTGAGTCTATAATGGAACAAAATGATGAGGTTAGTTGTGTAATAATTTTGTACATTATGCAATATTTACATTTTCTTAAATAATATTAATCCATTATATATAATGATGCGCAGGATTTACCAAGAGGTCTCCCTGATGGCTTGACAAAGCTCCTAACTATGAAGATGCTGTTTCAGAAGAACATACAAAAGGAAGCCAGTCTCCGTATGTAGTAGAACTATAGTCTCAAGATGTCGACATTATGACTGAGTGGGATTCTCGATCAGAGGTAATATATGATAAATTTTTACAAACTTCTAAAGCTCACTTTTTTATCGTTTAGTCAAATTAAGACATCAACAATGTACATATGTCTCCAGCAACCGTTGATGCTTACGAGTTCAGACGAACTTGAGAATCCATCGTCTAGATCTTCACTCACTCCTTCTTCTAAGAAGGTAATTAAGAGTCCCGACTATTTGGATGAAGGTGAAAGATCTGTTAACAAAAAGCGACCGAAGCAAGAGATCTCAATGAAGTTATGAAGAAGCAAGACATCGTAATGAACTTATTGCAGAAATGTATTGCTGGTGATTGATTATTGCTTTTGATATTTGTAACCAATTTGTCCCATGGGTGGATAACGTTTGAACTCTATTCCTTATTTTGTTTGGGGTATTTGTGGAACCTTTGGCGTATTTTATTTAATCGTGGAACGTTAATGTTGCCCTAGATTGTTTTTCCCTAATTATTTTTGTTTTAGCACTTTTAATTTGTGATTTTGTATTTCCAACCAACTGTCATAAATTTACACGAGAGTTCCAATTAAGACGACATTAAAACAGTAACCGTTTTACTCCATC